ACTGTTAAAATTTATTACTTACTAATTTCGTATTAAAATTATATATATTATATATATGTGTATATATAATGCTCTTAAATAACTTTGTTATCCTAGCTTCTCAATAAGAATTTAGCATAATGTCATGTCAAAGTGACGTGGAATATTCTACGCAAAGTGAAGAAAAATAGTCTCAGCAAATTATTTCAATGTATAGGCAATTTTATTCTTAAACTTTTAAGGACGTATGTTGTTCGCTGTTTTAGATGCAGTTTCTAAATATAAATACACTTACTAAATTAGAAGTAAAGTATACAACAGTCTCTTCCTTTTGTAAAGCTGAGAAAAAAGCTAACCGACCTTAAGTGAAGGCAATAAATCATTCTCTATTTATTCACACTTCAGGACATATTAAAAGACATCAGAGATGGGCAACACCGCTTTTTTATGGGAACAGATAGGCACCTCACTCACCCACGTTTGCTGACTGAATTGAATCAATTCTTTTTTATGATTCACCGCTCGCTAACAATAATTTTGATGAAAAACATGGAGAAAAAGGTGTGAATTAAGAGTTGTTAACGAGCATTAGGAGAACAGCGGAAAGATCGAACTAACTGTAAGACCGGAAATAGTTAGTAAGATTTGAGAGATGACTGGAAAGAATCCAACGAGATTGGGATCGGAAGAAATGACTCGATTAAGAATTAACTGCTTGAACAGACTTCTTTCAACTGTATTTTTTAGAAACCTAATTTCTAAGAATAAAATGATTTTCCAAAAATTTCGAAATAATAAAAATTCTCTTTTAACAAGGAAAAATAAATATTCCCCTCTCTCCTAAAATGGGATTCGAACATCTCTGGAAAGCTTCCAACACGAGTTCTTAATGGATGAGCTCTAAAGATTACGCTCTGTTTTCGGGAGTCAGGCGCTCGCTCGAAAAGTGCTTCAGTTCGTGCACAAACTGCACATCCCAATTCTAGCACGCTTCCAGCAAAAGGCCTTTATGAACTGTAAAGAAGCTATGATTATTCTGTTTCTTAGAATTACTGCTTATTTGCTCAGTATAAAGTAAATCGGTTCTTTAAATCAGCTAGTGAGGGAATCGTCCGACTCTGAGAGACATTGCGAAAGGAGACGTTCGTTTCAGGCTGCCCCTTGTATAAAATGCAAAGAAGAAACAAATAAAAGAAAAGGATATATATTATATTAGGAATGTGCACATGCTGAAATCTAGTTTAGTGCCCGAAGTGTGTCATAAATTAATACTGAAGAACCAGTAGACTATTCATTTCTAGATTATCATCATCATCCAAACAACTAGATATCATAATGCAAAACTTGTGTAACATTTCCTTGCCATCACACCATGAAAAGCATAATGACGCTGCAGCAATAGCAGATTCTCCAGTGTGTGCGAATTATTTTTAAATAAAGCCATAACACTGGTTTTTGAACATCTTTGTTAGCAAACCTGAGTTATATCATTTGTAGAGTTTATATAAAATGGACTTGTAGTGTATAAAATCGCCAATACTCCATTGCATAGTAAAAGCATTTCGGTTGACTCAAGATTTTTATAATAGGAATTAAGAAGAGATAAATTTTTGAGAAAACCATTTTCATGTTTAGCATAAGCTAAACTCAGAATATAAAACCGGAATTTTTTTATTTAAATACGTCTTCAAACATGAACGTTTAATTTTCTGTAAAATGATGTCAAAGTTCATTAAAACTAAAATCCTGCTTAACGTATATGTAGAGGGTCCAGTTTATTACCATTAGCAGATTATATATGTTTCCATATGGAGAGAAAAACATCGATTAACTACGGAAACTGCCCCCCAAAATACCAATCAAACAGTGATATTTTCTTTGAAATATAAGGAATACATTTTGATTGAAAGCTTAAAGGAAGATTACAGAATCCGTCAGAAAAGTGTATATATATTTTAACATAAGGGAATCTTTTTCTGTTTAATAGTGTGAACTTAATTACAGATTAATTAATTCATTCATGTCATAAGTTAGGATAGTTTAGATATAATATTCCTGCATCTGCACCGACTAGACACATAGCAAGAGCTTACTCTCACACCGTTAGGCATTGTACCCGCGGGTATTGCTGCAAATGCCGCTGTAAATTCTTGACGAAGGGTCAACAGCATAATTGAATTTCTGCTCACAAGACGTTCTTCAAGGCCCCCAAGGCCATTTTTATCCGCTGTTCTACATCATACATCGCAAATTACAGTAGTGAGAGCACGTACATGTGTTAAGAAAGTACCGTGCTACATACTTTAAAGATAATTCAACTCAGCTTCGAAACCAGTACGCATCTATCGTCTGTTAAGAGCGTGCATACATTTTGTTACTAACCCTGTGTGTGTATATATGAGTTGTGCTACACTCATATCCTTTATATTTTAAGTCATTCATATCCTCATTTAATCTCTGCCATCAAGTTTCTTACAAGTCAGATAGTTTAAAAGAACTGTAAAACCAAATTAAGTATTTTGAGTGCATTTATTGGTTTAAGATTCATCTGATTTGATCAAAGACATCTTCCTTTCGAAATAAATCGCTGCACTGATAAGCCACATTAAGGCGAAGTCCTTTAATTTGAAAAAATTTGACTGCCGAGTAAATGAATGCCAATCAGTATTAAGATATTCTGTGTATTGAGAATTTTTATTATTATTAAGGTATTCTGTGTCAATTATCAATTATTAAGGTATTCTGTGTCAATTATCAAATATTAAGGTATTATGGGTATTGAGATTAATAATGAATTACCTACTGCGTAAACGCAGAAGATATTTCATTATTAATCACGAAGTTAAGAGCTAAATTTAATACTAAAGGCGGGGACAGGGAATGAAAATTTATGAGAGAAATGCTGTATTTGTATATTTCAAAATACATTCAATAGTTTTGTATCTATCATATTGATAATTTCAGCAAGTATGTAACTTCTAAGGCGTTACAACCATTGGGGAGCTTAAATTAACACCGAACTTTATTAACCATTACTTGGGATTAATGCTACTCAAAATTAGAACCTTCATCCACTTGCAATCACAGCTGTTTACTGATTCGCAGTAATTAAGACTTAATTACAACAGCCATACTTATGAAGACTGTAGTTTTTAATTTCTTCTCAGCAAGCAACTTCATGTCGAATTCCACTGAACTCCTAAGTAAAATTAAATGGTAGTTTTAAATAAGTTACACTTTCATAAACCTCTGGTCCCAGCGAGTAACGCGACAAAGCAAAGAACATAAGGAATAATTTAGAAAATTGTATAATAATTTAATAAAGAACTAACTACTATTAAACATTAAATCATAAATGTCGCAAACATACTACGGGATGAATTCAAAATATGACACTATAAAAGACTGAATTTTTTAAAAGAGTTTTACTGAGAGCAGATAATTATGTTTTAAATTTTATGACATTGGTTCGTTTTTCGAAAGCAGTACCAGTCGGTAGATGCAAAGAAACTACACAAAATTTATTTATGGTCGATCGTTATAACTGTCGTTATAACTATATATCGATCGTCATGCTGCAATAGACTAATTGAATTTAGGAAATAATATAATAATTGAATTTAGGAAGCTGCAATAGACGAACTTTTTAGCATCAGTAAATGAGAGAATAAAAATTCAGTGTTTAATGTATAACAATAGTTTATCGAAAAATTCTTGAAAAATTATCATTTGTAAAATGAATAATGAAGTAAATGTATTTTTCTCTTTTTGTCTATCTAATTTTTTTAGAACCCACTTTTCTGATTTATCTTACAGGTAATGAGCATTGGAAAAGTATGCAAATGATGTAATCAGAAATTAGAGTCTTTAGAATGTTAACTGGACTTAAGTTCCTGAGACGCTGGAAAAAACTATACTGTCAAGAAAAAAAAATGCCGTGTTAAAACCGGTATTTTTTCAGATATTTTTATTCAAATAGAGGGAAAAAAAGCAGAGAGAATTTAAATAATCAACATTCTGATTATATATGTGTTAAAAGTTATATGAAAGCCAACCATAACGGCAATATAAGTATAGTGATTACCTTTTTGTTTTTACAAAAGTAGTATATCCGCCTTAAAGTATAGACAAATAAGAACTGATATTTACATACTATTTTTTTCTTGCTGCTATTTTATTATTAAAGCAAAGAACTATAAGTGAATTCTATGCAGTACTAAGAGTAATTTCATCCTTATACTACACCATAGGTATTTAAAGTTTGTTTTCAATAATTTTTACAAAATGATTTTAAAGCCATCTAGAAAAGATCAGACGCGTTTTTATTTGCTGTTAACCGCTAAAAAAATTAAATGCTTTTTCTCTATTTTACAATAAATTTTTGGCATAGTATAAGTTTTATTTGTTTTACTGTTACTGTAGATGTTTAAAAAATAATTTAAGTACAACAAAACTTTAACCGCCTTAGGAATTATAAATATTTGTTTCCGTAATATATATATATATTATTGTAGATTCTTACAATTGCTGAGAAATTTTAAACGCTGTATTTTGTACTATGTTTCCTTCAAATTATTAAAAATAATTCCAAATATCTCTTTTACAGTGAAACTTTAATTTTTTTTTTTATTCTCATTGGCACTCTATAATATATAGAAGATTCGGTCATGCTGTGCAAATTGCGTTATTGCAACCTAATTTTATTAAGTTGATAACAATAAAAATTCAATTCTGTAAACGTTTATAACCTAAGCACGTTTCTAATTATTGGGCCAATCACCTGTGAGTTCTTATGCGTGGAAGAAAATAGTTGATTTTTTTGCATTTTAGTTTGCAAATAATACTACGGGTCTTTGTTTGTGTTTTTCAATCGACGAAAGAAGGAAAATTTTTCATTTTCTATTTAAAAGTATAATTTCTAGTTATTTAGAAAAATAAAATTTAATTTCTTGCGTCGATCAGAAACTATTTATAGTTTTTCAGAAAGTACAGAAAAACGTTGTTACAGTGAATACTTTTATTACAAAGAATAATTTTGATCAGATAAAATAGTTTTTATATACGATGATAATCTCAATAGAGTCATATTACTTTTAACTACTGACTGAACTAGTATTCACTTTTTGTATCAAACTTTAATTAAAAAAATATACAAAAAATATATCCATAAATTGTCACGATATAAGAATGTGATATTTATACCAACAAAAACATAAAAATAAAGTTGTTGCAGATGCTTCTAATGATAATGCTGTAAGTTCATGACCCAAGGAATACTGCATGGCAACAACCATTCCTTTCGTAGCACTTTTTGTTCCATTATTTGGCAAAGGTTCAATGCCAAGAAGGTCACACAAAATATTGTAAATGTCCACAATCTGCAGGGGAGATGATATGTAGTTCCTTCGTAGACCTGAAAATAAAAGGAATAATACAATGGACAATATTGGAACTGAAAGCTAAATTTAATACATTTGGTCAATTAAAATTTGAAGTAAGAAAAAAAGAATGCGCTTAAAAATTATATCATATATACAAATGCAAATCATCACTATTGAAAGATTAAACCCCATTGTTTAATTAATAATTCTTATTACTAGTTAATTATCCTTATTATTAATATTATTCGGAAAGCACCGAACACCTTTATGAAAGTCGGTAACCGACAGAAGTAGATTTAAAGGTCTTGTAACATCGAGATTATTTTATTACTAACATTTTGAAATATATTTCAGAAGTATTTAAACTGCATTAAGTAGATTCTTTTGATTTATTTCCGCCAGTTGCTCAGTAAAATGGAGTTCCTAATACATTTTTCGGTATATTGTATACAAAAATCATATACTATTGTGCTTTTTTCCTTTAATTCCATAATTTTATTGAAATTTTTATACCTATGAAACTTTAATTTAATTAATTTTTTTTTAGTTAAACGTTAGCATTAAATGATATCCAAGACTTTTATTCACTTCTTGTACGCTTTCTTTAAATTATGGCTCAAAAAAATTTAAAAACAAGCATTTCTTAAATGTTTAATACAATGCACATATACTATTGTTTGACTTCACAGCAGTGTGAAGAGGGACATGTTACCGCTCACTTATTTCTGTTTGAAGACAATGAAATTAAAATGATTACATCAAAATGTTGAAGAATTGTTTAAAATCACACTGCACTACAGTTGCTTTTTCATATTATAAGCGTAATTTTTACCTGGTCCTCTGGCGTAGAATATGCCTCTCATATCTGAAACTTCGTATGGGTCATAACCATGTGCGCCTAGCGATATGGAAGAACCGGTAGGAATACTTTTTCCTGGAATATCCAGCTGGAGATAAAAGTTGAAACTTAGGGAAATACAATTTCATGCATTTACAAAACTCATGAAATCTATAAATGTGATAAATTTGCATGGAAACTGATAAAATCTGTGTGATAATTTTAATTTTAAATAATTTGCTTGCTCTCCAGAATAAATAAAGAACACAAAATATTTATTTCGTAATTTTAATGTCATATTACTGGATATCTACAGAAGAAAATTTTAGATGTAAATAAATCAAGGATTCCAATCATCTCCAACACACGAGAAATAATAAAAGTTAGAGATGTCACTCACAACGTAAACTATAAAACGCAATTCAACTATTCTTTTTGAAAACGAGTCTTTCTAAGATCACTCATAACTGACTCATCACAACTCTCGGAGGCGTATTTATATGTAGTTAACAAGCCTTCAGGGAAACTCGATTTAAGAACTTCGAAAACGTGCTTTCCTGAAACTTCTAGAAAGCTGCGAATTTATGAACAAATAACCATGTAAATACTTCAAATAAATTTTTAGTCGCTTAGAGCAGTCGCCCATGTTTGATAAATTCATAGTGCAATTTGGTTTTCAAACGTCAGAACTGATTAATACATGAAAATATAATCAGCCGATTCAAGAACGCATTGAACACGAGATGAGACGCTTGTCACAGGGCTAATGATATCTAGATTTGCTTTGAAAACAATTTTATGTGTCATAATTGCTTCAAAAAACAAATGGTCTTAAAACGATATTCATTAGGAGGCATGAGTCTCATGGTCGTCGGCTTGGGAGCGAAGATCTGAACCCTGCTCGAAATTTTCGAACTAAATTGGAGGCATTATTACATATTTATTTAAGCAGCATTTATTCCCAAAACATGACGCTGAAAGGAATTTTTTGCCATATTTATTCATTAAGACTATAATTATGATTTCATTTAATAATAATAGAATGATATGGTCTACTATTTGATTACTTCATGCAATCTAACATGGCACAGGCGGTTAAGAAATGAAATATGATTCTCTGTAACTGGAGTAACTAACGGTTTTAATCTTGTTGAAGTCTGTCTATAATAAACCTAAATCTCGCTTATAAGAGTAGTTTATTAATCTGATCAGTAATTAATCTTTATTAATCATTATTTATTAATTATTTCAGTACTTATCTCTCTAGTTATTAATCTGACTAATATTATCTGTAAACTCTGACTTTGTTTCTTAATTTTGCCCTTTACTGGACAAGTAATTTCGTCATCGAACGCTTTTGATTCTCTAAGGATATACAGAATTCTCATGGATTTCTTGCTGAGTTTTGTATTGTATTTGAAGAAATTTGACCAGGCATTCTTCAAAGTTTTGTGTATTCTTAATTCAGAAAGGTAACAACTCATTAATCTGTTACAATTGTAAGATCGAATTTTAGCTGACACGCCTCTCCAAAGTGCACTTTACTGAGGAATTCGTACGAGATCACTGCAGAAGGTGTTGTTCAGTTATTGTAGCTTTCAGATTTCAACTGTGATATTGATCTATTCTACAAAGAGTTTTAACGAGTAGCTTCAGTACTACGAGTAAAGTAAATTCTTTGTAGGTGAAGGTTAAAAGGGCTCATCAGAACTCGCATGACAGCGGCTTCTTTTGCTCATGAAAGCAATAATAAATCATTTCTGAAATATCACTGTAATTCTTTAGTACTTTTGGAATCACAGAGAACTCTTTAGATAATCACTTTAGAAATCACAGGCGACTAACAGTTCTTGTATGTTCAGTTTATACGTTATTACGTCCTCTACGATTAAAGATATTAAATTTCACCGTTGTTGCTTTTAAGAAAAATCTAGTTGAAACTGATCAGCAAGCAAGCTTAGATTCTTATGGATCAGGAGACCTGAGAAATCCATTATAATCTCACCTAAATCCCAATCAAGCATCTTCCAGTTGCTAGCTGCGCATACTACACGTCGTAAAAACGCGCGGAAGAATGCGATAAATCCTTACAGATTTATGAGCCATATGAAATCTTTAACATTTAAATTTTTGAATAAAGATGGTCTTCATATTTCTACTACTCATGTTAGGTAGCATTTTTTACTATCATCCCTTCATAATATTGAGTTATGTACTTAAAATGACTCTCTAAGATTAATAAAAGTATCCTCTAGTATAGGATCTAAAATGACTCTAAGATTAATAAAAGTATTCTCTAGTATAGGATCAGCCTTTGCTGCGCAGGAGCATATTTGTGTTATTTATAAATAGCTTGTTGTGACCAGCACTATTTTGTAGCAAATTTTAGTGTAGTTGTAACATCAGTGTAGCATCTTTCAATTAAGTACTGACCTGGCTGTTACGTTTATAGTTTAAACATTCTGATAACAACACAAATACTTAATATTATTTAATCTTAAAGGCTGGCTATGGACACACTATAAATAGTTCACAGATTACCCTATTAATATGGAAGATCTCCCTATTAATATGCTAATCTCCTAAAATCCTGAAAATGTGTTTAATATACGTTTCTAGGCCCTCCGTTTAGGTTAAGAATATCGAGGGCTTATGCAGACTTTAAAGATAAATGATGGTTGTAAAATAACTCTCCTTAAATTTATCACTCTTAGATCTTCCAGTGAAGTTTGATTAAACTGAATAAACTGCTCAGGTTGATCATTTCAGGTCTTGCATTTTGTTTCTCGTAAACTGTAAACGGCAGAAGGTCTACAACCAGGTGCTTTCAAAAATTCACCAATCCTTATCTGCTATATAAATTAAGCGCATTCTCAACATCCCATTAAAATAATTGAAACATTTATGAACCTTTTTGACTATATTTACTGATGTAACATATCCTCTATTGCATTACGTCAAGTAGTGCATTATTAATTGGTTCAATTCTTACAGCCCGTTTACATGTAATTTATTAATAGTTTGAAACGTATGCAGAAATATAACTGACAGATACACCTTTTTTATATTTCACATTGAATAGGGCGAACTGCCTTTTTCCTTATGCAATTTACATCAGTTTGATTCTTTTTCGAGAAGGGTATTAGAATATCAGACGAGCAAAAACAAATCTTTTTACAACTATATAAAATCTAAAAATTGAAATAAATTAAATACTTAAACAAAAATATTAATAATTAGTTCAAACAAAATTTTAGATGTGATAGAAGGAGCTGTACCATTTTAATTTGAATTATGAACAAATACACTACAGTTTAGAATAATAATACTCAAACATTTAAAATTATTCAGAAATTCTTACTAGCAGTCTCATTTCATTATCTCAGTATTCAGATTATGTGAGATTCCAGAGAATACAAGTCGATCTCCGAAATACCCTATTTCCATTCGAACAAGTCCCACCATTAAGCGCATTTTAGTTAATACCTCATATAAATATTTTCGATTTTTATTTAGAGAAGAACACATATATGAATGGAGGCCTGGAAGAAATGAGAACGTAAGACATAACAATTGCTTTAAAAATTCTATATATTTTTTACAAATAATTTAAACGTAGGTTTAAATATGCACTTATGTTAAAATTATTCACATGCCTATAAGAGTACTAAAATAACAAAATGAAATATTTTACCTACCCCTCTTATGTAATAATTTTTAGAAGCTACGAGCAGAAGCGGAAGAGTTAATCTGCTGTGCTTCACATGATAGTACTCAGGAATTTCATCTTTTGTATAAACTTTTAGGCCAGGAACACCAGTCATAGCTTTATATACCTAAAACAAAATAAAATCTTCCATAAAAATTAGAAATTTTTCAATAATCTAAAATTACTTTTTTGTATTTTTAATTCAATTAAACTTCCAAACGCTCCTCCATATTAGCGGATAAAAGAATTTATTGTTGAAAGCTTAAAATTTGAAAAATGCAATATTACTAACTCGATATTGATTAATTTTTCTGTCAAAAAGCTTTCAATTATTGGTACAGTAAATGTATATTATCAATTGATATACACTGGTGTGCAAAAATTAAGGACGAAGTCGAAAAACTAGCATATCAGCTGAACAAAGAGGCAGAGCGGACAGAAAGACCGATCAGGAGATTAAGTAAGGTGATGTACGGTAGCACATGTGCAGATATGCAGGTAGACGTAATGGGGGAGTGTCTGAGTAGTATAAAGCATGTTGTCGGTGTAAGATCAGTATTTCTGGCAAAGAGATTGCACGCTATATAGCAGTTAAAATCACACCGAGTTGCTGCCTCAGCGAGAAATGGCTAATAATCAATCTGTTAGACGACATCTGCATGCTTTTATCCGAGGTCGAATCATTGGGAAGTTGGAGGAAGGCTGCAGAGTGATAAGTGTGGCTGCAGAGTTCGGAATTGCTCACAGCATCGTTTCACGACTTTGGAGACAATTTCAAACTACAGGAACAGCTATCCGGGGGTTTAGTAGTCCACGAGGAACCACACCCGCAGATGACCGGTATATTGCCTTACAGGCCAGAAGAAACAGGCGGCCGACAGCGGGAGAAATCGCTAGACACACGACACAGGCGACTGGACGACCGATATCGCTTTTTACCGTGGCCAGAAGACTACACGGTGGTGATCTGTTTGCACGACGCTCTGTACCGTGTGTACCTCTAACGCCTGCCCATCGGAGAAGGCGTTCTCTGTGGTGCCGGGAACACCGGAATTGGAGAGACAATGAATGGGGACGAGTACTCTTTACATATGAGAGCAGATTCAGTCTGAGTAGCGATTCTCATCGCATACTCATCTGGAGAGAGCGGGGAAGCCGCAATCATCCCTCGACATCATTGAAAGGGACAGGTAGGGAGGTGGCGGTGTTCTCGTTTGGGGAGGCATCATGCTTGGTAGTTGTACAGACCTTCACACCTTCGACGCAGGTTCAGTCAACGGGACCCGTTATTGTAACGAGATTCTTCTTCCATATGTGCGTCTTTTTAGAGGCGCTATGGGTCCGCAGTTCCTTTTCATGGACAACAATGCACCATGTCATCGCACAGTAGCTGCCGAACAGCTCTTAGAGAGTGATGATATTGAAAGTATGGATTGGCCGGCACGATTTCCGGATCTCAATGCCATCGAGCATGTATGGGATTTTCTAGTCAGACGCTTGGCAGCTCGTATCTTACCACCAGTAACGATTCCGGAGCTTCGATTGGCGCTGCAAGACGAATGGGCAGCAATGCCTCAACAACTCATTGACACCCTCATTCTCAGCATGGGCAGACGCTGCGAAACCTACCTAGCAGTCAGGGGAGATCATATCCCCTATTAAAGACCGGATGTTTCTTGCTGGACACCCATCACAGGGATGTTTCGGCCTTCAGTCGCATTGCGCTCCATGCTACCTTTTCAATAAAGCTTCTTTTTATCCCTCTGATTTCTCTTTTAGTAAGTGTTGCTTACATTACTCATGTCCTTACATATTGGGGATCTTACGGTATTAAATGTGTTGATTTGGAAAGCTTTTGTACAAAGTTATATTGAAAAAACCGTCTCGTCCTTAATTTTTGCACACCAGTGTAGTCTAATACATTCATTTCTCAAATTGTTTGGAAAATGTTTTTTCTTTCACTTTCATGACCAACAGATCGGTACTGAGACCAATCGTAGCACGTTATGTTCTTTTTTTATTCATTTCACTTTAAATTTCATATTTAGACCATTTAAGAGGCGAGTAATGCATTATGGATAAACCTAAGAGGCTTCAAAGAAGAATGCTAGAAAGCCAGGCATTTCAGATACTTCCTTAACACCGGAAATTGATGCTTCAGATAACATAAGCGTATGTGTAAGATATGTGTAAGTGTATGTTTTACTTTATTTTCAATTTTTACGTTTCGCAATACAAAGACCCGATGTAAATGTGCCTTCCAAATACCTTATTTCTTGCTTATTTTTTCTCGTGCTTGATCTCCACTGAACGTTTCTCCCTAACCTCCGCATAAAAGACCTATAGTTTTCAAGTTTTCATTGTTAGAGCTTTCTAATCACTTTGAACAACTGCCACGAAGTTGGGAAGTCATTCTAACTTACTAGGTTACATCCTAGTAGCAGTAATGAAGAGAAAAATCTGAATTCGAGAGTGGAACGTTTCCAATTATTTATAAATCAATTTTTAGATGTTCTTTCAAAAGTTAGATTTTAAGTACATTTTGTAAAGCTTAACCCACAGTGTACGTCTCCCGAGATTTCCACGGCATACGAAATCCGTCTCGTAATCCGGTTCTCGTGAAAACAGCGTACGTAAATATGTTTTTTAAAATTAAGGAAACACTATTAAAATTTCTGCATTGTACTAATTTTGTTTATAAAAATGTGAATAGTAATATATGAAGAGAGAGAATATAAAAAAAGTGCCGTATTTCAGAACCAGTAGGTGTCCAAATCGCTCCGTTCGCAGAAGGTTAATAGTGGCCATAAGCGCAAAAGCACCATGGAGCCATATAAAGAACTATTGCTATATTTTTCCCCTATACAAAGCAGATATATTATAAATGTCTCAAGAATGATAAATCTGGCAAAATTATATAATGTGTGCGAATAAGCGCGACTTGCAAGAATTTATTTGGATACATTTCGCGGCTGAAATAAAATATTAATGATAACTTCTTTCAAAAAGAAAGTTGTCCTTTTCGCTGTTGCATATGCAATTTCAAAAAGTCATCGGATTTAACATCATATGAAATTTTATTGTGGGGCTTTCAAGGAAACACTCTTCGTGCTAACAACATTTGGTATCGGTTAAGTAATTTGTCTGTTATGAATTCAAAAAATATTTGCATAGCTGAAAACTGCTTAATTTATCACTTAAAATATTTAAGAACTCTTAGTATTCACCATACAATGTTAGATATTTACAAATTGTTTTAATTTCTTAATTTTTTTGTAAATGAATAAAGCTTTATAATTGGCGTTTACAGCACCAAATTAAAAGCAGTAATTACTTTCCATCTTAAAATACTTACAAATGATACATTTAAAAATTATTGTATGTCGTTGACATAAACGTAACAGACTGACGTACAGTAAAATTTCATGAAACATGTTTAGGTGTAACACTCTTCAAGGCACTTAACTGCACTGTTTTTGCGCCAGGAGATTTCATCCGGAACATTTCATTAAGGAACGTCATTATATTCCAGGAAAGACTTCAAAGAAATTCCCTCGTTTTATTTCTCTCCTAGTAATGTTTCGTTCAAATCAGATCATAGAGCGAGAAGCTTAAAAAGACAATGCTTACGAATGATGAACAAAAAACGAGGTTAAAAACGTAAAATAAGTCACTTAAAAATACCGATAATCTTTTACTACAGAAGACAAAAAATTTAGATGGTCTTGAGAGAACTGATTTTATTTCTTTTATAGTGATCTTATTTTTATTCTTCGAACAGATTTAACCGCAGGTAAGATTTGCCAAATTACTTTTCTTCAAAGAATAAACCTTTTGTGAATAGGGTATTTTTTACATTAAATAGGAAAGGTTTTTATTTCCTTTCAGGAACAGAATTTGAAATAAGCAGAGAAGCGATTTAAATCAGCTGGAAACAACTCTCCAGAAAAGATATGAAATATTAAAATTCTTCTAGTATTTGGATATTTTTTTATCTCTTAGTTGTACGATTCTATAGAAAAAAGCTTAGAAACACTTTTTAATATATTTTTTCAGCTTTATAACAATGCATTTACATTTAAAAATGAAGTTTTAGCATGTAACCAATTACCTAACGATGCATGAGTTGTTAAATTATATTTATATCAGTCGTTACTTGTTGTTTGGTGGAATAATAACAGCACAGATAACAAAATCGTTTACAGTTACTTTAGAAAATTTACTTTTATGAAGACTAGACCCGATTTATTTTTATTATTGTACAGCCCATTTTGTATATCAGCCTTTCATATTACACACATGAGGAGGATAAGATATAATACTAAAAACAAGCATACAGGAAAACCGCTCACCAGGGTCTGGACCCATAGAAATTACTACTTTTCAGAGGTCGCATCCGCACCTTTGTTGGAGGGGTTTTAAAATACATAAACGTAAATCGCTATTTATGTATCTTTTTTAATAATGGTAGGGATAAGCAAAAATCACCAACATTCATTTACTTTGCTCATACGTGCTCTATGTATTTACATTTACAATCTAATTTTATTCAAATAGCGCATTATTTTAACTCAGTTTAGTAATCGTTTAAAAAGAATGGTTTTGAAAGACTGAGAAAATTCCAGAATTTTGTGAACGTATTATAATTTGAATACATAATATATAGTTTTATCTGGGCAAATTTTGAAAAATTCGCAAATTAATGAATTAATGAATGAATTTCTTTTTGCTCGCCGAATGAAGTTGGTTCACTGAAGTCCTCAAATAGTAAATTCTGAGGGTTGAATTTATTGGCTGCATGAAATATTGTTGCTTCCTTTCGTTATGTTGGGTAAATACGGGTTCATTCCTTTTAGAATGTCTTCCGTGAAAGCTTTCTCCCCCCTTGGCCAAGAGCTCTTCTGTGCTTTGAAATATCAAGTAATTCATCTTTTTGATATCAGAAAGGAGAAATATTTGATACAGAAGAAAAGGAATATATTACCAAATGAGCCTTTTTCCCAAAACAGCCTTGACGATTTTACTTCCGATTCAGCCCGAACGGGGATTATCTCTTGACCATCATCATTCCTATTTCAGCCTTCTACGTAAAGGTGGGTGATTTTATGACTCTTTACTTGATGTGTT